AGGCGTGCTGCGTGTTTTTTATTACTGATGTAACGACGGTTGTTATATTTCTGTGAGATTTGTGCCAGTGGGAATCGTGGGAGTCGACATGTGTTTTCAGGTACCATTCCAAGAAGAGAAACCCGTGGAAGAAAAACGTGAAGGGCGGTCAAAGGAGACTTTGGACATTAAGCACTCCGATGTTCCGATCATCCGTATAAAGAGGTTTCAACGACAGCAGTATAAATATTTACATCTGTATATAAATGTACATTTTTTCGAAGTGGTGCCATTAAAATAAAGACCTAAAACACACCGACCATCTGTTTTTACTAGGACCAAAGATGCTTGCAATTGACTTTGTTAAAGAAAATGAGATTCATGAGTTTTCAGGAGTTGTTCAAAATTTCCTTTAATTCATCTTCAATTGTTTTTAATATCCGTTAGATTTAAGTCATAATCATTGGTACATTTGTTAGGTGATTCTTGCAAACGACGGTACGAGTTTGTCTGACGTCAACGTAGCTTTTCTGGACGGTGAAAAAAAGGAAGTAAAAAGCGTAAAGACGAAGAATGGATGGTAAATCATTATCCCTAACAATTTTGCTCATTGCTGAGATATGTTTGAAGGTATCAGTTTCATATGGTGTATCCCGGCGATTACTTCGTCAAGCTAAACGATCCCAGTGTGTGTGGCGATCAGCGTCTATTGCATATTCAAGTGATAAACGACTCGATTCTTATCGAAGACAATTTAAAAATTCTGGGATTCTCTTTGCAGGTAATTCTTTTTATCTATCATTAAATTAACTAGATAAATTGTTGTGCATTTTAGTTATTAATATATTTTAAAATTTAATTTAAGTCTAGTTTAAATATGTAAGTTTCGATAAATGTTACTGACATTTGGAAAATCAAAGACCTGATCTTATTATAAATTTCTTGATCCCATAAATGTTCCCACGACAACCGAATATCAGACCCCTTCTCTTGATTTTGCTGCAGTTCTTCTTCTGCCGTGTTCCGAAGTTATGAGCTGCCTGTTTTAAAAAAACTATTCATTACTAAAGGACTTACTGTTTAGGGATACTTGAAGAAAGGTAGCGTCAGCGTCTCTGACACTGAAGTGATGCTGTACTCAAGTGAAAAGTACAGGGTATGCGTTAATTATACTGCGAAATTCAAAATAGCTTATTTTGATGCTTTCTTTAGCCCTTCGAATGCGATACTGCGGTTGTTGCCGATTTTGAACTACCTGCTAAGCTCAGCCACCTTTTCTACCTTTGCAAAGCAACCGCGAACGAGAACGGAAAGTTTGTGTTTCCATGCGTTGCGCCTGGGCAGTACTATATTGTATACTTGTACTTAGAGTATGTCTGTTATGAACAGTATGATTTCAGTTTCCTTATGGACGAAAAGGGGGACTTATATACGACTTTTCGCCAAAAGTTATGGAGGCGAAAATCGTCACACAACCGCGCATTCTTCAGGTAAGTTTTTACAACATGCGTATCGATTGTTGAGTAAGAATTTCTTTCAAGGACCCGTTCTCGGTGGTCGGTCTCTCAGTTGTTGGCAGTGTCTTGTGGAAGCATAATGTACGTAGAAGAGTTCTTTTTAACTGCTTTCCGTATTTCGAATCTTTGATTGATTGTTTTCTTCGAACAGAATACTCTGATGCAGACCTCTGAGCAGTCGCAATAGAAATTGAGAAAATATACCCCGGTTTATCTGTTTAGGTTGGACCCTGTGTTGATTTTTACAGTGGATAACCAGTATCAAGATGACCAGGGCAAAGTGCAGCCACAGGGGACGGTCATCGACTAATATAATGTGGCCGAGGCCGTACATTTCCCCTATTCTGATATGACCACACGACAATATCATTTTGTTCCTGTTGTTCGCATGTATGCAACAAAATAGATTGCTACAGTTTTCTGACTGATGATATGGTTAAATCTTTGTTCATGGGAAATCATTTTTTAAAAACGATCGCCCCTTCTGTGCATTTAAAAACGGCACTTAGAACAGAGTTCTAAGCCGAACTGATTGCCAGTCTACCACCTGATTTATTTTCTGAAATTTGTGCTGATTCCGCGCTTGCGGTAGAAACAAGAATTCTTGGAAGATGGTCTGAAACAACGAATGTAGGCGCAAAGAAGATGCATCAAAAACGTCTAGGTGAATTTTACTCCGCAGCCTCATTGCCCTTCGTATGTGTATCTGTCGCTGCTCATGTTTACATACCGTGTTTTCTACAGCCAGATATAGATTTATATTTGAAATTGTAATTCGAAATGGGTGGTTTTAATTCTGATTACGCAGAGCAATATATATCGTTACCCAGTGGGTGCGTTTTAAGGGGGCTGGCATTAGCGAAGTGGACATTTTTTTGGACAACAAATTGGTGACTCGTACCAATGCCAGAGGGATTTATATTTTGGAAAAGTTGTCCGCTGGCTCTCACATAATCCAGCCAAAAAAAGAAGATTTGGAATTTCGCTCGCAGACCATCGATGTTTCTGAGAAGGAGGTTTCAATTTCCCCTTTTGTGGTCGAAAGGTACATCTTGTCCCGGTCTTCTTTTTCCT